GGGAGGGGGGAGGGGGGCGGGTATATACATACATAATGAGTGAGATGTGCACCATCTGGAGGATGGTCATGATGGAGACTCAGACTTGTGGGGGGAGGGGGGAAATGGGCATTTATTTAAACCTTAAAATCTGTACCCCCATAATATGCCGAAATTAAAAAAAACAAACCCTCAGTTAAGTCAAAGGATGTAACATTTACATACAGATATCAGTTATTTTTCTATACACTAATAATATAGACAATAAAAAAAGAATACACTCTCATGTACAATACCATCAAGATAATAGATTTCTAAGAAATAAATTTAACCAAAGTGGTTAAAAATACCCTTTACACTGAGTAGTATAAGATATTAATAAATGAAATTAAAGATAGCATGAATAAATAGAAATATATTACCCAAAGCAATGTATACATTCAATGCACTCCCTATCAAAATTCCAGGGGTATTACTTGACAGCATTAACCAACAAATCCTAATATTTTTATGATATCAGAAATATCATTGAAGAGCCCTAAACAATAATGGCAAAGAAGAAAAAAGGTTCCAGCATCACACTTTCTGATTTCAAACTAAATTTTAACGTGGGAGTAATAAAAACAGCAAAATATGCACATAAAAACCAACACAAATAACAATAGAAGAGAATGGAGAGCTCAGAAATAAATGGAAACATATAAGGTCAACTAACATTTATCTAGGCTTTAGGAATGCACGATGCAGAAAGTATGGCTCTTCAATGCTTGGTGCTGGGAAATTGGATACCCAAAAACAAATGAATAAAAGCAAACTGTTTTTGCTTACATGATACCCCAAAACTAACTCCCGATGTAATAAAGATTTAAATGGAAGACATAAAACTCTAATGTTTCTAAAAAAAAAAAAACAGTATAAAGGAAAAGAAAAAAATATGGGAAAACCTGACATAAGACTTGCAATTTTCTTAATTTTTTTTTTTTTGGATATGATAAAATAATCACTGGAACAAAATATAAACAATTTGGGCTGCATCAAATTAAAATTCTCTGCACAGCAAGGGAAAAAAAACAAAATAAGAAAATATAGGATGTGAGAAAATATTTTCAAATTTTATATTGTATAATATGTTAACACCAAAAATATATAGGAAACTCATATTTTTCAAATGCAAAACAATGTCATCACTCACTTAAAAATAAGCAAAAGTTTATGTAGAATATTTTCAAAGAAAACATACCAGTTTACAACAGGAAACACCAAGAGTAAGTCAGCATCACCAAAACATCATGTAAACACAAATGAAAACTATGATAGGTATCACCCCACAATTGTTACAATGACTAATGTGTAAAAGAAGAGACAAAACAAGTGTGGACAAGAGTTTGCAGGAAATCAATCCCTGTAGACTGTTATTGATTGTAAATGGATAGTGTCATCATAGAGATTTGTTTAAAACATGTAAACAATACAACTGCCTTATCATTAACCAATTCTACCTATGAGTATAACCATGTAAAATCAATATATTAAGAAGAGTCTGCACCCCCATGTATATCGCAGCATTATACATATTTGCCAAGAGAATGGAAACAAACTCAATGCCTGCTTATGATGAATAGACTAAAAAATGACTGTACAAACACATACCATATAATATTTCTAAGCCATGAAAATAATAAATATCCTGCCATTTCAACAACATGGATGAACGTAGTAGGCATTATGCTAAGTAAAATCAGCCATTCCCAGAAATACTGCTATGGATAATTAAATACTACTAATAAATATTGCTAATAAAAACTGCTATGGATAATTTTTAAAAAGTTGAATTTACAAAAATAAAGAGTACAACATTGGTTTTCAGGATGTGGCATCAGGAAAAGTGAAGAAATGTTTAAGGGTAAAAGCTTGTAGTTATAAGATGAATAGATCTTGGAAGTCTAATGTACGGCATCATGATTAGAGTTATTAATAATGTTTTATATGCTCTTAATTTGTTTAGACCATAGACGTCACTATTAATAAATGTTCTCACTATAATTAAATGGTAACTATGTGAGATGATGGAATAGTTTATTACTTTAATTATATTGTTTTACCATTTATACACACATCAGATCACTAAAGTGTGTACAATAAATATGTACAGTTATAAAATTCTTATTTGTGGAAACTTCCACCTATTAAACACCCCACACACAGAAATATATGCACACACACACATATGAGTGACACATTTTTGATGCTATTAAATAGGACAAAATTTTGGAACATAAGTTATCAAAGTATTATGTATCAATTGGGAGTATAAATATATTCAGTTATTTGAAGCACTGAATGAGACAGTGTATTTAAGAATTATATAAGGTGAACAGAGAAAATAAACTATATTATAGTTTGGGAATTTGGGTATAATAAAGTTGAAAATTTACTCTTATTTTATACAAGAAAAAGAGTATTTAAAGTGAAATAACATTAGATTTTCTTACATTTAAGAAGAGGCTATACATTTGTACAAAATTAGTGAGTCTGACTTTCTGTAGAATTGCCTCTGAAAACTTAGAATTGGAAATCATGATGTAGAAAATACGACAATCTGTCCCTAGTGTTTCTGCCATTCCAGAAACAAATCCCAATATCTCCACTATTCCCCTTTATATATTTCAGAAATGAGGCATCAAAAGGAACTTAAAACAGGGAGCTGGGCATGGTGAATCACACCTATAATCCTAGCACTTTGAGAGGCCAAGCAAGAAGGATGCCAGGATCTTGATACCAGCCCTAGCAACATAAGGAGACTCAATTTTTACAAGAAAATAATAATAATAAAATGGTAGCTCATGCCCATAGTTCTAGCTATTTGGAAGACAGAGGTTGTAGGATGCCTGGAGCCCAGATATTTGAGGTTGCACTGAGCTAAGATCAGCCACTGTACTCCAGAAAGGGCAGGAGAGTGAATGGCTGTCAAAAGATGGTTTAATGTCATGGTCTTCAAAATATGCACAGATAGTCCCATAACTCCTAACCAATAGAAATGCTAATAGATAATGTAGTCCCTTATAAGCCATGAAAAGAACTTTGGTTCTCGCTGAATTCTAAGGAAGATCACTGCATGGGTAGAGTTCTTAGAGAGTTTAAGAGCATGGGACAGAAGATGTCCTTCTGTGAGATAAAGATGTCCTTCTGTGAGATAAAGAAGCCTGTGAGACACAGGCTTCTAAAAATCATTTCCAAAAGAGCAGAATATTCAAACCCACTTTTTAATATCTGCCTTCCTCCTTGAGTTTTGGCTCTCTAACATTCGTTAATCTGCTTCACTGAATCTCACCTACCTGGATATTTAGCTGTTGTTTCCTCTTTCCTCATAATCCAGGGCTCTATTCTTTGCTCCAGGCATGTGATCAGCTCTGGCTTTGACTCTGCAAGACCTGTTTCATTAGAGAAATTTCACATGACTCTTGCTGAAGATTTTCTAATTACTAATGCAGTACTATTCTTAGTAGAGAGTATATGAGAGAAGGTTCTAGAAAAATCCTTTGCAACATATTGCTTTCTCACAGACCAGGTAGAATGATAAAAAATTGATCTAATTTATGACTAGAGCGCCAATTCCCACTAGCACCATATAAATAAGAGGTGGAAATTCTATTTCAAGGTGCAGACAATAATTTTATACCATACCCTGATTTCTAATGTAACCACTAATCTAGTGTGAAATCCCAACAAAGGGAAAGATTCAAGATAACATGAGACATCTAATGATTTTATTTTATGCACCAAAATCTTCAAATTTTCTTTAAAAGCATGGATATAAAATTCATTCATGTTGCTTTCCACAGAGGTTGAACTAGTTTGCAGTCCCACCAGCAGTGTAGGAGTGTTCCTCTCTCTCTGCATCCATGCCAGCATTTGCTGTTTGGGGACTTTTTGATTACATTGAGAACTTTTAAATAAGTAAATACAGATACACATATATACATATGTTGAGAATGTAGAGAAATTGAAATGCTGCCATGTTATTCTGAACCTTGGATTCTAATATTATACAAAATAGACATAGAACAGATCAGAAATTAAAAATACAGAAAGAATAAAATAATTTGCATTTCCCTGATGATCAGAGATGTTGAACATACTGCAATGAGATATCACTTATCTCCAGTAAGAATGACCTTCCAGTAAAAAGTCCCCTAACAATAAATATTGGCATAGATGTGGAGAGATAGGAACACTCCTACACTGCTAGTGGGACTGCAAACTAATTCAGCCTCTGTGAAAAGCAATATGGAGATACCTCAAGCAATACAAGGATCTACATTTGATCCAGCAATTCCACTACTGGGCATCTACCCATAAGATCAAAAGTCACTTTATGAAAAAGACACCTGCACTCCAATGTTTATAGCAGCACAATTCACAATTGTGAAGCTATGGAAACAACCCAAGTGCCCATCAATTCATGAGTGGATTAATAAAATGTGGTATATGTATACCATGAGTACTACTCAGTTTTAAGAAACAATGGTGATATAGCACCTCTCGTATATTCCTGGATACAGCTGGAACCCATTCTACTAAGTGAAGTATCTCAAGAATGGAAAAACCAGCATCACATGCACTCAACAGAAAATTGGTATTAACAGATCAACACCTAAGTGGACATATAGGGGTAACATTTATCAGGTGTCGGGAGGGTGGGAGGGGGGAGGAGGGGATGGGTGTATACAACCACAATGAGTAAGATGTGCAAAGTTTGGGGGATGGATGTGTTTGAAGCTCTTACTCGAGGGGGGAGGGGGGCATGGGCAATATAAGTAGCCTTAACACTTGTATCCCCATAACATGCTAAAATATAAATAAATAAAATAAAATAAAATAAAATTCATTCATGTAAAGTAGAAACCTTTAAGAAACTATCAATAAAAAAAGTAATGGCCTTAATGTGGAATAGGAATTCTGTATATAAGTGATCCTCACCAAGGGAGACCAGGTTTCCATAGTTCTCCAACATCACATCCCTATACAAATTTCGCTGAGCATTGTCAAGGGATGCCCACTCCTCTGGAGAGAATTCCACAGCCACATCCTGAAATGTCACCATCTCCTATAAAAAGACACATATTTCCTAAGTGGCCATACAGAGAGTTCTTAATTTGACTGCAAGCAAAATGAGTTATGAGAACTGTTTCTGACATATGAGTGACTGCAATTATCCAATAAGATAATTTTTAGCACATTGATATTCTTGAACATATTCTCTTATCCGCTGGAATGAGGATCACAAAAGATGTATGAAAAAGTGTGCATATGATTATGCTTTGGATGATAAATCATTGAATACAAAATTAAGGGCCTTACAACAGTAATATAAATTTATGGGTGTTATATTTACATCACATTGATAAATTGTGCATATTTCTCACATAGAGAAACATAGTGAGTTAGAAGGTATCACCTAATTTTTACGAGTACAATGAAGAACTAGAGATTTTGTTAAAATACAGATTCTGATTCAGGAGATCTGGGGTGGGGTCTGAATCTCTGCATGGCACATGATATAACTGCTGATATCAATGCTTCTTGCCTAAGGAGAGTATGTTGTCAACATCCAGTAAAAGGTAGAATTTATCTCAGTTCATCAGAACAGAACACAGATGATAGCCCTCATTTTTCAAAGCAAGCTATAAGAAGAAAGGGGAGCTTCCAGATTAAATATGATCCTTCATGCACATCACTCAGTAAATCTCCATGAGACACTTAATGATAAAGAGAAAAAAACAATTAACTTTATATGGGAACAATCTCTCAGAGAGCATCTTAAGCAAGTGAATGTAATTAATATCACTTTAGTGGGACAAATTGTTGTTAGGCATCATTGCAAAGAGTAGAATACAAAATCACTGCTGGGATAGTAGTGGCCAACAATATGTAACCATGAAAAATCATCAGTTGTATGCAAATTTCAGATACAGATGTTTCCCATGTTTTGTTATCTTTAATAATGTATGTAAATACTTTAGCATCACACAGAGCAAGTCTTCTATTTTCCTTTTTTTCCATAATTTTCTGGTTATCCTACACAATCAATGCTATCCTCTTCCTGAATTCTCCTAATGATATTTTATGTATAGCTGATAAAGCAACCAGATAAAACTTTGAGAGTACATGTTCCCCCTCTTCACTCAAATTCAAAGACTATATCCAATGCCCAACAGGAATTTCAGACATCCACACTATTCTATCTTGACCTGTCACAATGGGAACATTTTCATATTACATGTCATACATTTCTTATGAAACTTGGCTATTGTAGTAAGATGCTTGTGGGAAAGAATTTAGAGCAGGATCTCTTATACAGGGAGGAAGGATTTTCCAGAGCTTCTTGACTATCATAAGAAGAAATAAAAAAATGTAGTTAGAAACTTATTAGGCATACACATTAGAAGTAAAGAAGTAAAGGTATAAAAGTTCACAAAATTGAAGTTCTACATGATTTTCTAGGAGAAATACCGGACACAACCCCTAATCTGGGACACATTTACCTGAAAACCAGCCATTTCTTCTTCCTCTTCTCCTATTCTGTAACTTCCTTTCAGGTGATATTGTGTAGAAAAATGAGAATTAAATCTTGAAAATGAGAATTAAATCTTAAAGGACTCAGAAAAATTTATTGCCTTGTTTACACAAAGTTCACAAGCAGGAGGAACTAAAAGGCAGAAAGGCTACACTCACTTGTTCTTAGTCACAAGAAAGAGTCAGCTATGAGCAGCTAATTCACTGAGACCAAAATGTGAGTTTCTCCTGTGTTTTCTTCCAGTTACCTTCTCCGGCTACAGGTGCCAGGAGTTTCTGCTACAGGAATGGGAATCTGGACAACACTGATCTGCCTCTGCCAAACTCAATAGAGTAGACCCTGTCACTTTCCTCTGGAACAAAAGCTAAACTCATTTCTTATGAAGGTATGCAGGAGGCTTAATGTTTGACCCTGGTATCAAATTAGAATTATGTGGGGCACAATTAAAACCACATGGATGTTCCCACCCAGCCCAACAGGCAGGTGATGGTGTTTCTTCAATCTAGCCAGCTTATCCTAATTGAAAGCCTGGGCTGAGAGTTAATTACCTTAAAATTGTCTCTTAAACATCAATGTAAATATAAATCATGTGGTACTGTGGGCCTCATTCTAAGAAATGTGGTCTGCTGGTGTGGAAGGAGTACATTAATTGGGTTCTTAGCTATGTCCCTTTTAGTGCTGATGTTGCTCAACCTAAATTCATTATTAGTAGTACTCAGGTAGAGACAGCAAGCACAGCATACATACTGCCTTTTGTTCAACTCTCATCACAACATATACTTAATTTTCAAAGTGAAGAGCAACATGATGCAATGTATACCGAGCATCTGCTATGTGCTCAGAAGTATGGTTTGTTGCACTGTGAAGAAGCCTTTACTTTGTGTGATTTGATCCTTATTATACCAGAAAAGGTGAGTAGCAAGTGTCTAATAATTCACAGAAAAATTTAGATGTGGTGCCAGCCTTTCTATTCTTTCCACACAACTACAATATGATACTACACAAGATCTAGAAAATTGTTTACACTCACCCCAATTGGGTCCTTTCAAAGTCAACTTACAAGTCCATGTTGATCTCTTACACTGCAGCATATGTCTCCCCTGAGATTTTGGTACATCCTCAGTCCAAAGTATGTCCCTGTCTTGGGAATTCTAAGTTGAGGCCAGGTCTAGTTTGGATGAAACTTGTGTATTCTTTTCATTTACAGAGAAGGAAATAAAACAGGAAAATAAATTCCTCTTTGGAACCTGCTCCAATGCATCCTCAGGAACCCCAGACATTTGATTCAGAATCCAGAGCTGCAGATTTAGGTCTCTAGAGAGGCATGAATTCAGTAGGGCTCACTGCCCATTTCCTTGCATTTGGGCAAGAATTGAAGGCAGAAAGGGAATTTATGTGTCCAATTCAGTGTACATAATATTGTTCCCATTTGTGTCTGGGGCCGATGGCATCCGAATCCATTTAAGTTCTAAAGATGTGAGATGCATTTACAGAAAGGATAGAACTACTGATTATTATCCTATGAGAGTGTATTCACGGGAATCTGGTCTAACTATACTCCGGAGGAACAGCAGACACTAAAGAGGTCTAGAGAACTCACTGTGTTCAGATGTGGGGACAGTGAAGCCCTCTGCTGCAGACTTGCTGGTTACAGACTGAAAGCTCAGAAAGGAATCTAGGGTTCAAAGCCCTTCTAATTTAGAAGTGGTGGGCACATTTTATGTTTATGTTGCAGTTTTAATTCTGGAAAGTGTTCAGGAAGTATTAATAGTAAAGAGTATCCAACTAAGAAAAACACTCCACAAAGTTAAAAGAGAATTAAAAGAAACAATTTTATTACTCAAATCACAATGTGATGTGCACAGTGCCAATACACTGAGAGATTGCAAAGGGACACATAAAGTTGTTCCTGTACATAACTAAGCATATTCTAACTTTTACATAAATGTTATCTAGATGAATAATAATTAGCTTTGAAGAAAGAAGTCTAGACAGCCCTATTTGTCCTAAACAGTGCACCATAAACTTACTGGGTAATTAGTGAGACTCTCTTTTTT